CCTCCCACGTCCCGTCCCACTCCACGCTTTCCCCCTCCCACGCTCCCCCCTCCCACGCCCACCTCCTCGCCTCGCCTCCTCCCACGCCCACCTCCTCCCAGCCCCCAGCCGCCATCCCCACCCCCCAGCCCTCCATCGCCATCCCCACCTCCCAGCCCGCCTCCACCCAGCCCTCCATCGCCATCCCCACCTCCCAGCCCGCCCCACCCAGCCCCCTCCCCCGCCACGATGCTGGGCTCAGTGTACTTCACCGGCCTGACAACAGTTACCGTGGACATCACATACGTCGTCACCACCGTCGGCTACACCGCCGCCGGCCTGCAGTGCATGATTGTGTCCCACAGCCTGGGGTACCTGCACAGCCAGGCAAACTTCAACCCCAGCCAGACCACGGTCCTCTACGCCGTGGCCCAGGTGCGTTCCATCGCAACAGGCTACTGGGCGGCCGCCTGCTCGGCCCTGAACGCCGACGACAAGGTCCTGGACAGCGTCTACCTGACGCTGGGCACCGCGACCCCGCCGCCCCCGCCCCCCCCCGCTGCCGCGTGCTCCAGCGTGGTCCCCGTGGACGACAGCACCGGCGCCTGCTCCGACTACACCCGCTACCTGGTCCTGTGCCTGGAGGGGTCGGCGCTGACCGCCAGGTGCGCCGCGGGGACCGTGACGCGCAACCTGCCCACCTGCCCCACCTCGGGGCTCACTGGGACGGTCGGGGGACGCTGCCCCGACGCCAGCACGCCCAACCTGGGCCTCTGCTTCTCCTTCGACAGCGCCCAGGAGACCGTGCAGTGCTTCCCCGTGCCGACGCCGACGCCGGACCCCGCCTCGCCGCCGCCGCCGCCACCCCCGCCCACGCCACCCCCCGCGCTCCCCGCCCTCTCCGGGACGGTGGCGAAGGTCAAGGCACGCTTCACCCTCACCGTCTCCTCCTCAGGCCCCGCCCCCTCCAGCGTCAACTACGGCTTCTTCACCACGGCGGGGGCGGCGCAGGCCATCGGATCGGGGCTCTACAACGTCGCCACCCCCACCATCGTAGACCTCAACGAGGGGGATGCCGACGTTGTGTCCTATGTGCAGGCCGTCGCCGTGGACGTTGCTGGCAGCTCCTCGGCAGCGGTCACGCTGGTGTGGGTGTAGCGGGGGGCCTGGCCCAGCGCCAGCTGGGTGGTGAGTCCGCCCTTGGACGGCCACGAGGTCGATTCAAACGCCAGCATGGATGTCCCTAGACCCTGACCGCCTCTCCCATGCCTTAAAGCTGAGCAAGATGTTCTATACCTCAAACCTTGCATGTTGAATACCGACCATAGCTGTACTCACTGCACCAGGAATGCCTGAATGCCAGTGCCGGCTCGTGAATTATGTGGTGCGGTCCCCCTCTCCGTGGGGAGGCTAGGGCTGGTATGATGGCTTCAAGGTCGTCGGGGCTCCCGTAATCCATGGACGACCACCACGCCTTCCTGCACTCCCTCCCAGGACCCCCGCAGTGCCATGTCGTCCTCCAGATGTCGGAGCCCTCATTGAATTGGCTACCCGACGCGCTCACCGCAGCTCAGGAGTGCCTGGTGTGTTCCATCATGACCCACATGATGGCAGCATCTGCCACTCCTGGATAGCTCTCAATACTGGCCTCTGACAATCTCGTGCGATGTGCGCTGTTATGACTATTTGATCCCTAGTAAGATGTCGCGCCCCGACTAGCCCTGCTCGCACGACCTCTGACGCCATGTTGGTTCGCAGGCTGGTTCCCCTGCCTGCCGCCGGGTGCACGCTCGCCGCGCCCAGTCCTCGCTTCAGGCACGCGGCGACCTTCGCCCGACGGCACGGCTCCTCCTCGGGGCTGCTGGAGGAGCTGGATCGCGAGGTGGATCGGGCCCTCGAGCGCGCGACGCGGGCCACTGTGACTTGGACCCCCCTGGCCACGGGCTTCGTCTCCCCCGCCGTCACCGCCGCCGTGGTGTCGGCCCTCAGCACCTCCGCGGACACGGGGGTGATACCCTGGGGCGGCTATCCACAGGCCGAGCGCGCCAGGCTGCTGCTGGGGCCGCGAGACATGCTGGATGTGTGGGCGGGGGAACCCGCCGGCGCGCCCTGGCCGCCGCCCCCGCCGCCCATCCAGATCCTGCACGTGCGCGGCAACTTCCTGTTCGACCCCGGCAGGCACGCCGACTTCCTGGGCGCCGTGCTGGGGACTGGCATCGAGCGCAGCATGGTGGGGGACGTGGTGGGGGTGGGCGACAGGGGGGCCCATGTCTTTGTCAGCTCCAGCATTGTCCCCCACCTGGAGGCCAGCCTGACCCAGGCAAGGAGGTTTGGGGGAGTGGAAGGGATTTGAACTATGGATGAGAGGGAATGAGGGTTTGAGGGTGGTGTCTGCTGGGCCGAGGCTTCGACGCTGTGTCCAAGTGATCGCGGCTGCCATCCTCGCTCGCCCCTCGTATGGCCCCTGCACTGCATGGCTCCGACCCCTCAGCACGTGTGCCTCCACCCTTTACCGCGCTTTCAACCCCTATACTCTCAGGCACGCCTCCCTCGCCTCACACCTTCCCCCCCCCTCAATACCCCCCAGGTGCGAAGCGTCCCCGTGACCCTCTCCCTCACGGACCTTGCTGACCTGGCGCTGCCCCCCCCGCGAATCAGGGAGGTGTCCAGCGTGGAGGCCTCCCTGCGCCTGGACTCCATCCTGTCGGCGGGCCTACGCCTCAGCCGCTCCAAGGCAGCAGACCTCGTGCGCCAGGGCTCCGTGCGGGTGAACTGGCGCCCCGTGGCCAAGCCCAGCGTGGAGCTGAGCGCGGGGGACATCATCTCCTGCTCTGGCAAGGGGCGGCTGGTGCTGCGCGACGCGCAGCCCACCGCCAAGGGCCGCTGGCGCGTGACCATGACGCAGACCGTGTGAGAGGCGGGAATGGTGCGAGACGGCGGGCGGGCCTGTCGGCGTCGTGGGGGGGAGCATGGGGGTCCAGGGCTCCAGTTGTTGGTATGAGCCATTCCGCAGGGCGGGTGCCCCTCAATTAGATGCTCCTTGCTGTAAAACACATGCGGATGGTCGACGTCTCCCTTTGCTTTCACACAAGCCACATGCACACATTGTGCCCCTCGCCTGGCCCCTTTCTCCCTGCCCGTCAGCATCGGTGGTGCCTGTTGCTGCTGTAACACAGGCCCAAACAGCAGCAGCATGTCCGACATCTCACTCCACCGGCGGCTGGTGGCTCGCCGCGTGGCTCGACGCGGGGGCCGTCGCGGCCGGCGCCCCTCGCACCAGATCAGCGACGGGCGCCTCGGCCGCGGGCTCGGCCGGAGGATTGGCCTGTTCCGGCGCAGGCGCGGCCAGGACCGGGAGCGGGTACCGCGCTAGCACAGTGCGCAGGCTGGCTTCCAGCTTGGACGCGCGCTCGGGGTCGATGGCGCGGGGCGCCGGGGTGTCCTGTGCAAGATCAGTTGGGGACGTGGCGTCGTGTCTCGGCTCGACCGGGTCGGAGGCCCCTGCCCTGCTGAGCTCCAGCGCTGCATGCGGTGGGGGGATGTGTGGGCTGAGCGCGATGTCAGGCCGCCCTGTATGACGGGCTCTTGAGTGGGAACAGGGGAATTGTCAGGGTCCAGGGCCAGCCTCCCGCCGCTGCCCAGGTCGCAGGTACCACGAGCACTATCGCCGGGATACTCTGCACGCCATACCTGCTATGCATGGGTGCAGATCCTCCTGCATCGCTGTAAAGGCCGCCTGCATGCTGAACCGACACCTGGCCTGCGATGAGGGGGCACAGAGTGTGTGAAGCCGCGGGCCGACGGCACGGGTGCAGTGAAAGGGCTGTGGCTGGGAACAAAGTGCCAGATGCGGGATTCTGACTGGGAGGAGGACCTTGCTCCCTGTGGAGACGCCACACAGTGACTAACAACGGCACCCCCGAGAGACAGAATGTCAAGTCCCTTTCATACCCCCTTGTCAAGGCCAGCACGCTGTTTCACACCCGCAGTGCATGTCCAGGGCGCTGGCAAGCCTCCCAGCCATCAGTCCCCCAAACCCCTGTAACACCGCGCATGGCGCCGCCACCGTCGCCTCGCCTCACCATGCGGTTGGTGAGCGCAGCGTGCAGAGCGGGGGCCTGGTACACGGTGCCATCCAGCACGTAGTAGACCGCCTGTGGGGCGGCAGGGGCCGACGGCGCGGCGCGGTGCTGGCGGCAGATGACAAAGAGGTGGGGCGGCTGGGCGTCCCGCAGCACGTACTCGATGCCGGGCGCGAGGATGCTGAGGAGGGTGGGGGCCGGGAGTGGCGGGCAGTGAGAGCCATGCAGAGGCACAGGCTCTCAGGGATTTGGGTGCCAGGCATTATTGGAGCCCCAGGCCTCACATCGGCCCCACACTGATCGACCAGCATCCACCCAGGGCCCACTGGCCAACCAAGTGCTGATCCAACCTACGCGAGCTGTGTGAGCTCCAGGCCTTGCTGCTTGGCACCCTCATTGCTGCAGTTCTTGTCGTAGAAAGGGCTCAGGGAGAAGTAGTCGAGGATGTTCAGCGGGCTGATGCCGTACGCCTGAAGCCAGAGGTCGTCCCTCCAGCTGGTGTGGGTGAGGTCGAGGCCAGAGTCCCCCATCGATGCTGCTGAGCTTCAGTCATCATGGAGGTGGAGGGACCGTGACATTGTTTGAATCCAGGGTTACCGAAATTGCGCATTTCGAGGTTAACGGCGCAAAAATTTCGGGGAGATTCCATTCTCGAATTTCGACTCCGAAATGTCGAGCTGACATGGCAGTAGCCCATCGGGGCCTGGCACACCCAGCGCACAGTGAGCATGGTGTGGAGGGGCTGAGCAAGTGTGAAAATAAGCGCAGCGTGCGCAAAATGCAACTTGAGTCAGTACCAATACGTTCACAGCACGTTACAGAGTGGGCTTTCCATTGAAAGTGCAATGGATCTGGTATACATCTGTGCCAACTCCCGCTTTCTGCATGCCATAGACAGAACTTGGCGCTTGAGTGAGCTCTTCCACGATGGGTATCTCCTGGACGATGGCGTGCTATCTCTGAGGCAGATGAAGACACTCAATTGGCCAAGCATGTTTACCCCTCGCCCACCCTCTTTCAACCACCCCTCTTGCATGAAGCGCCTGATGTAATATAGCCATTTTTGTATTTGGCGGGGTTTTCAGCTCGAAAAATTTCGGAGCATAATCGAAATTTTCCATTTTTCCATTTTCGGTGACCCTGTGAGCCGGCGAGGTACGCTCCAGGAGTCCCAGATCGCGCGGGATCTATATTAGTGAAATCCCGACAACAGATCGCCGACCCCCCCAAATAAGCGCAGCGTGCGCAAAATGCAACTTGAGTCAGTACCAATACGTTCACAGCACGTTACAGAGTGGGCTTTCCATTGAAAGTGCAATGGATCTGGTATACATCTGTGCCAACTCCCGCTTTCTGCATGCCATAGACAGAACTTGGCGCTTGAGTGAGCTCTTCCACGATGGGTATCTCCTGGACGATGGCGTGCTATCTCTGAGGCAGATGAAGACACTCAATTGGCCAAGCATGTTTACCCCTCGCCCACCCTCTTTCAACCACCCCTCTTGCATGAAGCGCCTGATGCAATATAGCCCTTTTTTTATCTGGCGGGGTTTTCAGCTCGAAAAATTTCGGAGCATAATCGAAGTTTGCCATTTTTCCATTTTCGGTAACCTGTGGGCCGGCGAGGTACGCTCTAGGAGTCCCAGATCGCGCCGGATCTGAATGAGTATAAACCCGACGACAGATCGCCCGACCCCCCCCCCCCCAGTACTCGTTATTCACATACTACCATTTTTGTATTTGGCGGGGTTTTCAGCTCGAAAAATTTCGGAGCATAATCGAAATTTTCCATTTTTCCATTTTCGGTGACCCTGTGAGCCGGCGAGGTACGCTCCAGGAGTCCCAGATCGCGCGGGATCTATATTAGTGAAATCCCGACAACAGATCGCCCGACCCCCCCCCCCCCCCCCCCCCCCCCCCGCAGGCGCCGCAAGAAGCGGATCCAAGGCCCAGGCGGAGTCCCCCGCATGATGCCCCCTCTGTCCTGGGCCGACCAGTTGCCCACGCCCACGACAGTAGTCATGCCGGGGGGCGCGCGGAACTGCTCCGCCAGCCGGGTGATGGCCCGCTCCCTGCCGACGTAGGCCTGGTGCCGCAGCTTCCGAAATGGCTTCAGGTGCATGTGCCAGGCCAGGCCCTCTCGCAGTTTGGGGGCGATCCAAACGACCCGGGATAGGAGCACCGCTGTGCTCGCTGTTTTATGAGTCGGGCACCTGTGGGGAAGGGGTCTTGAGGAGGGCTGGAGTAAACATGCGGCCCTCGTCTTGCAGGAAGTCATCCGCGCGCTCCGGAGGAATGGTTGCCTGCGCCACAGGCTTATTGTAGTAGGTACCGTGGACTGTGGCCTTAACGGCAACCAATATGACGCAGGCAACCATTCCTACGGAGCGCGTGTATGACGCCGTGCGCGGCGAGAGACGTATGTTCAGGACGTCCTTCCATCGGAAAGCCCACGCCGCTATCCAGGTTCCGTAATCACCTCCAACGGAAGGCTCGTGTGATGAGCATGCAGCCCGTCCCCTTTCCGCTGCACTCAGTACCAGCTCTTCAACACACCCACAAGACTGGTTGACAGTCGAGAAGTACAGGTGCGCCCGTGGTCCGGGCACACCTGAGGGGGTGGAGAAGGACAGCGCCAGCCAGCGTGAGGGGCGGACGAGCCTGTCGCGCCGCCGCTCTAAGAAGACCGGCTGCCAGCATACATTTACAATCAAGCAGCTGAGGCAAGACTCCAAGAAGAGCATTGTCTTCTACCCTGACATTGGGCAGTCGGGCCACAGTGACACCACTTTCCAGTGTCTGCGCCTGTCCCGGTGGGCCATTGACCTCGTGGAGTCTCTGCTGGCCGAACTTATCCCTGCCTTGCGCAACGCAGCTTCTCACACTGAGGCAACGATGCTGGGATTGCGAAAGGCCGGGTTGATGTCCAGCAGAGACTCCACGAGGTCAATGGCCCACCGGGACAGGCGCAGACACTGGAAAGTGGTGTCACTGTGGCCCGACTGCCCAATGTCAGGGTAGAAGACAATGCTCTTCTTGGAGTCTTGCCTCAGCTGCTTGATTGTAAATGTATGCTGGCAGCCGGTCTTCTTAGAGCGGCGGCGCGACAGGCTCGTCCGCCCCTCACGCTGGCTGGCGCTGTCCTTCTCCACCCCCTCAGGTTTCCCCGGACCACAGGCGCACCTGAAGCACTCGACTGACAAACAGTCCTGTGCGTGTGTTGAAGAGCTGGTACTGAGTGCAGCGGAAAGGGGACGGGCTGCATGCTCATCACACGAGCCTTCCGTTGGAGGTGATTACGGAACCTGGATAGCGGCGTGGGCTTTCCGATGGAAGGACGTCCTGAACATACGTCTCTCGCCGCGCACGGCGTCATACACGCGCTCCGTAGGAATGGTTGCCTGCGTCACGGGCCATTCATAGTGGGTACTGCGAACTGTGGCCTCGGCGGCCACTATGTCGGCCGTGGTGAAAGGGCCCTCGGGGGGCTCCAACAATGGGGGCATCCCGCGCATTGTCTGCAAATGATTTGAGATTTTTAGATGTGATTAGACAGTCGTTGGGGGGGGGGGGCTCGGCGATCTGTCGTGGGTTTTTACTAACATAAATCTAGATATTACTGAAAAAGAATGCCTGCAGGGCGCGGGCGCGCGCTTGGCTGACACCCAATGCATACGACGTGGATGGCAGATCATCATGGCTTGTTTTGACAAGTGAGCAAGCTCTACAAGTGGGAAGAAGACAGGAAATGTGGTAGAACATTGCGTCGATTGCTTGATCTGTAGGTCGCGCAAATATGGCAGCCACCGGCAGCACCCCCGACCTGCGGCAATGGATCACGTGTAATGGAGGCGATGTTCACGCCGACATCGATCTCTTTGGAACTACAGAAGGAGGATATAGGGGCATCATCGCGACCAGAGAGATCGCCGAGGGGGAGCTGCTCCTCCGCATACCCACCCCGCTATGCATGCACGTGCCCAGCAGTCCCAGCGAGGTGAGGGCATCTTAGCTAAGCCGGGCCGGAGCACTGTGTGGTTGCCCTTGGCACAGCCCATCGCGTGGTCTCTCCCTGCTGTTCGGCCGCCCCATCACTCTCCCGTCATGCAACACGCACTGTGCCCAGGCACCTGCCATGCGAGCACTGCAGTCCCACCCCAACTCCTTTCTGGCATCCACGATGCTGCTCCTGGCGGAAAGCGCAAAGGCAATCGTGGTTTTGGCGTGGCGGTGTGTGTGTGGGGGAATTCTCTTTGGACCCTGGGCATGTCGCGGGCACAGCAGACCGAAGGCACTGCCGGCATGTACCCTTTTCGCACACAGTCTCCTGCCCAACACCCAGCAATACCATGCCCCTACGCCTCATCACAGGGAGCTGCATCGCCGTTCCATGCCCACATTACAAGCATGCCATCCAGCCACGACTGCCCCTTTGCCTGGTCTGAGGCCGAGTTCTCGCCGCTGCTGGAAACTGGTGGGCAGGGGGTGCTCATCCTTTGGGACGCATGCTTCTTGTTGTGCATGGCCGCATCTGAGGCAGGAGTGCTCATCTACCAGTATGCATCCGCATCAAGGGCCTTGGTGGCTGGCGAGCTTTGCGCCACTTGGCATGCCATACATCCACCCCTCCTCACTTACCCCTTTTCCTGCTGCAGACATTGACCCCGGGCTGCGAGAGGCTGGGCTCAAGTTGTATGAGGAAGCCGCACGGGAGCTGGCGTCCCGGTACCCCCAGGCCTGGCCAGAGTTCACGTATGAGCGCTTTGCCTGGGCGGCCGGCATGGTGCAGTCCCGTACCTTCCACCTCCAGGCCACCAACTGGGTGACGGGTGGCACCAGCGACGGTGGGTTGGAGAGGGGAAGGAAGGGGGCGGGGCGGTGTAATGGCCTTGCTCTTTCCCTGTCCGCCAGATCTCCCCGAGCCTGCTCGCTTTTTGAGCCGTCGCAGCACAGCGTTGACAACCTGGGGATGCGCTGGTCAACCAAGGCTCGCTCAAGAGGGGTGCGCTCCACCCGGCCTCAGCATGCTCGCCATCTTTTTCCACACAGGCTGTGAGCTGTACCTGTTGCCCGGCATAGACATGGTCAACCACTCCAGCCAGGCAGAGCAGAGGTCCACTGAGCTCCGATTTACGCCAGACAGGACGGCGGGTGGCGAGCGCATCCCGGGGGAGTTCACCATGCTCGCCTGTGAGTGGTGTTTGGGGTTATGCATCTGGGATTGCGGGTCAGGGCAGGGGGGGAGGGGATGGAACGCAAGGCATGCTGAGAATCCGGATTCTTCAAATCTGCAGCTGCAGTCTGCAGCCCATCGGCATGGAGGAGACAGCCCCTCCCCGTCGCCCCCTGCAATCCCCTCCCAGCCCTGTCTCTTTCCTCCGCAATCATGTGTCCTCCTCCTTACACCATAATAGCTCTCTACACACGTTTGCCAACCTCTTCCCCGACCACCCATCATCCTCACTCCCTTGCAACCCATCTCGACTCAGTTCGCGCCATCAGCTCCGGCGAGGAGATCCTCTTCACCTACGGGGACCTGTCTGACACGGAGCTGCTGCACACTTATGGCTTCGTGGAGGGGCTGGATGTGCCGCGCAGCCAGGGCCAGGCCTGCGTTCAGCTGGCAGACGTGTTAACTGGGTGCGGCGGCGCCCGCGCGCAGCGCGGCGCGTCGGGGTCAGATCGGTGTGCGTGCGAGGCTATCCGTGCCTACCTGGCGCCCGCCGACGCCTTCCAGGTGTCGGTCGCTGGCAGCATTCCGCCCACGGGCCTCCTCTTCGCAGTGCAGGCAAGGGAGCGGGTGGTGCAGGGCAGGGGTTGGCTGGCGAAATCCTGCATGCCTGGGCAATCACATGTGCTGGGGTGGCACCGAGGCACCCAGGCCCTCCTTTCAGAAAGGGGCAGCAGTCACCTGTCCAACTCATAAGCCACGTCGGCCGCACCCCATCGTAGATGCTGCTGGGTGGAAAGAAGGACTTACAGACCATCTGCGAGCGCTTCGAGGCCTGGGATCCGCAAGGTGCACAAGTGGCAGTGCGTGGTTTCTTGCCCAGCAGACCGCCGGTGGTCCTGGCACCTGCTGGCATGCAACAATGCTGGCTATCATTGCAAGAGCCTGCATCTGAGGCCTCTGACCGCTCCCTCAACACTTCTTCAGACGCCGAAACCGAGCAGCCCAAGCCCCTGGCGGTAAAGAAAGAGCACCTGGCTGCCGTTGGGGCGGCCCTTGAGAGCGCTCGCGCCCGTGTGTCGGCCGCCATCGAGGGGTTGCAGCCCGACGCCGCTCTGCGAGCCAGGGCGGCGTGGATGCTGTGCATGCTCCAGCACAGAGTGCTGGAGAAGGTCAAGCAGGCTGTCGAGCAGGCGGCAGAGAGTGAGTGGCCGGGGCTGGAACACTCGGTGTGAGGGTGGGTTGGTAGTATCGATCGTGGGGGTTGGGTGGGGCTGTGGACGATGTGCAGCAGTGTGCACATCATGCCTTGTAGGGAGGCGCACTGGAGCCCAGCCGTCGAGGGCAATGAGATAGATATCGTACCAGGGGGAGCTCTGTTATCAGACCATTAAGAAACGCTTTGCATGTTCTGGTCTTGTGCCAGGATAGTCCTTGCTCACCCCACTTCTCTCACTACTGCAGGCTAGTCCCACAGTATTGCTCCTCACTGAACACTGGCAAGACAGCAGGCGTGGGATGCCGCCTCCTCACTGAACACATCATGGTACATTCCTCGTGACAGCTCGGACGCACAGGCTTGAGGCGGGTGATGAAGTCATGGCCGGTGTCTCACTCTTGCCCTGGGTGGGCTTGCCCAGCTTGGAGAGGCCTAGCGATCGACCCCGGGAGCTTGTCGCTCCGCTAGAACGTGCTCAAGGGCTGGGCGGGGGAAGCGCCAGGAAGCCCTTGCCGAGGACCGGCAGCCCTGCACCTCCCTCCCCATACCCCGAAAGGCCGGCCTGTGGCGCGAAGGAAGCCCGGCAGCGGAGCGGGTGAGCGGGAGCCGCGCGGATCCTGGTGCTCAGAGCGCGGGAGCTCCCCATAGCGGGCCTCATTTCCCTCTTCCGCCCGCTTCCCCCTTTCCTTGACACCTGACAAGCTGTTGGGCACGCTCACAAGCCCCCGCTCGCCCTATCGAACTCCCCTCGCTTCCGGGAAGTCGCCTCTCCGGAGGTCGCAGGTGGGGGCAACATTTGATTACGCCCCTGGCTTTGGGGTACTGAGAAAGGCAGTGTGCCCGTTGGCACTGGGATTTCGCGTGCATGGAGAACATTGCCGGTCCCTTTTGCATCATGACTCTTGTACAAACCAGATTCAAGCAATGTGGATGTCGAAAGGCTCACTGGTATCCACGCAACCCTCCCTCTCGTCCATGGTCAGCGGCTGCCGCGCAGGATGGATGCCACCGAGCCGCACTCCCCCGTGCTCAAGGGCGAGGCGGGCCTGCGCCCGGCCGGCTTCACCAGCCCCTCGCCATCCGTCTACGCCATGCACGCCTCCAGCAGTAGCGAGGAGGGGGCGGTGCATTCCGGGGACCTGGGACCGAGCGGGGCCGGTCCCGGGCTGGATGCCGCGTACGAGCGGTACGCTTTCTACCCCGGCGCCGCGATGTTCGACGATGAGGACGAGGAAGACGAGGGGGCGGAGGACTACGACGCGCCTCGCCACTGCGTCAACTGCACCGCCCCCCTCTGGGACGACGTCTGCCTGGTGGGTGGGTGGGTAGAGGACCGGCTGCGTGTGTCTGTATGCAGGAGCCAAGGAACCCTGGGTGGAAGGGCCGTCGGCGTGGATACTACCACGGGTCGGGCGGCGTTCAATCAGCAGGCATTGCCCTTCTCATGCGCCCGCCCTTCCTTCTTCCTGGGTCATCCACAGGACTGTGGGCACGACGACGCTCACACGCCCTCCCTGTTTGACCCGACGCCCCTCTCGCGACGCGCGACGAATTCAGCGGGCCCGTGCCCTGCGAACAGCGTCGACACGTGTCTGCCCAATGCTTCCGCTGTTGCTCACACCGAGGCCGACGCACGGCCACGGCCCCGCCGCCGCGACGCAGTGACGGTGGTGGCCTACGACGACGCCATGCTGCTGCACCAGGAGAGCGAGGCGTGCCCCAGCTCGGGCGGCGGGGCACACCCCGAGCGCCCCGAGCGCCTTCGTGCCGTGTGGGCCCGCCTGCAGGCCGCGGAGCTCGCTGGTGGGTGTTTTAAGAGGGGGTTTGGGCGTCTCTGGGGTGTTTATCCTGCTGAGGCACCGTGGCTACCGGTGGGCACAGGGCAGCGTGGGGATGGTGGATGGCGATCTGGCGGGCACGGGCTCCTGGAGAGGCCGTTCACCCCTCGTTTCCCAGCCTTTCTTCAAACCCACGCTCCTGCACGACCCAACACAGAGCGCTGCGTGCGGCTGCCGTCCCGCCCCGCCACCGACGCCGAGCTGGAGGCGGTGCACAGCCGGCGTTTGGTGCGTGGCCTGGAGGCGCTGTCTGAGGGCATCCGCCGGGCCGAGGAGCGCGAGGAGGAGGGGGAGGAGACGGCGGGCTTTGCTGACGCCCATCAGCTCGGCGCCGTGGGTCCTCGGGGGGTTCCTGCGCCGCCCCCGACGCTGGGCGCCTCGTGTGACGGAGGCCCGGCGTCAGGCGTCGTCCCCGAGCCCCTGCTCGGTGTGCCGCCAGCCCTCACCCCAGCCCCCCTGCGCCTGCCGCCTGACACCTACGCCTGCGCGGCGACGGCCGCGGCGGCGCGGCTGGGCGCGGGTGCCGCCGCCGACGCCGCGCGCGCGGTGCTCTCCGGCGCGGCCGACGCGGGGCTGGCCATCGTGCGCCCCCCCGGGCACCACGCGGAGAGTGGCACCGCCCAGGGCTTCTGCTTCCTGAACAGCGCGGCAGTGGCCGCGGCGGCGGCGCGCGCCGCCGGCGCCGCACGGGTTCTCATCCTCGACTGGGACGTGCACCATGGCAACGGGACGCAGGAGATCTTCGCGGCCGACCCCAGCGTGCTGTACGCCTCCCTGCACCGCCACGAGGGCGGCCGGTTCTACCCCGGCACCGGCGCGGCGACAGACGTGGGGGTGGGCCCGGGCGCGGGTGCCAGCCTCAACGTGGCCTGGCCGCGCGGCGGCCTGACTGACGCCGACTACGCCATGGCCTTTGCCACGGTGATCTTACCCGTCGCCCGCGAGTTCGACCCGGACCTCGTGATCATCTCGGCCGGGTTCGACGCCGCACAGGGCGACCCCATCGGCGGCTGCCACCTGACCCCGGGGCTGTTTGCCTCCCTCACCGCGGCCCTGCAGGCCACCGTCGCGCCCTGCGTGGCGGTGCTGGAGGGCGGGTACAACCTGCGCGCCACCGCGGCCTGCACCGAGGCCTGCGCGCGCGTTCTGCTGGGCGAGCGGGCGCCGCGGCCGCGCCGCGGCGCCGGCGCCAGCCCCGCCGCCTGGGCCGCCGTGGCCGACGCCGCGCGCGCACACGCGTCGCACTGGGCCTGCATGGCCTCGCTGGCGCGCGCGCTGGGCGTGGCGCCTGGAGTCCTGCCCGACGGCGCGGGGGGCGGCGCGCTGGGCACGCTGGGCGTGCTGGGCGCGCGCGCCGAGTCCTGCCCCGCCCTGCTGGCCAAGGGGGCGGCGGGGGTTTGGCGCGACGAGGGTGGGGAGGCCGGCGACAACCTCACGGAGGGCCCCTCCTCTCAAGGCGACGCCGACGCGCTCAGCACACCCGCAGCGCCGGCCTGCTTGGGCGCGCGGCCGCCATCCCCAGACGCCAGCCTGCTGCACGAGGAGGATGATGTCATTGCTGCGGACGAGGCACTGGACCCTCATGCGGGCGAGCCACGTGACGCACAGCAAGTCGAGCCGCGTGACGCACAGGAAGTAAAGCTGGTAGACGTATCTGCACCCAGGGGCGCGAAACCCCCCCGCGATGTGCCGGCCGCCGCGCGGCTGTTTGCCGCCTCGCCCAACCGGGCGTGGAGTGCGGCGGGCCTGCCCTCCCCGCCGGGCCACCCCATCCCCTCCCACCGGCCCCCAGGCGCGGTGCACCCCGCCAAGCGCAAGTTTTCCGAGTGCGGGCCGGCGTAGTGAGGCCTCCATGCTTTGGTCTGCACAAGCATGGCCACGCCCCTCCCACTTGCCGTTTCCCTGCCGAGACTCCTTTGCCCGCCGCTGAGCTTGCTTGCTTGCCCAGCTCCCTTCCCCCTCGCCAGATACCTCGCTTGGTACTTGATGACGATGACTTCACGCAGCCCCCGCTCCTCCCGCTCTGCTGCCCCGAGCCGCACCCTTCCTTCGAGCTGTAACCGCTGCACTTGCATTGAAGAGCCCAGTGTTCCAGAGGCCCTTTTATTTTGGCCGAGGCTCCGCTCTGGGGGCCACAGCTACCACACCGAGACCCCAAACACCCCCCTTTCCCCCCTCTGGCTCTGATGGGGGGCGCATTACACCCAGCAGGCGAGGCACGGCATGCGGCGGTCCGCGCTCACAGGCGGCGACCGCGGCGGCCACCCTTCCGGCGCGTGGAGTCGGTGGGGATGGGGGTCACGTCCTCGATGCGCCCGATCTTGAGGCCAGCGCGGGCCAGCGCGCGCAGCGCGCTCTGGGCGCCGGGCCCAGGGGTCTTGGTGCGGTTGCCGCCGGTGGCGCGCAGCTTGATGTGCAGGGCCGACACGCCCAGCTCCTTGCAGCGCACCGCCACGTCCTGTGCGGCAAGCATGGCCGCGTAGGGCGAGGACTCGTCGCGGTCGGCCTTCACCTTCATGCCACCGGTCACGCGGACCAGGGTCTCCTTGCCGGACAGATCCGTCACGTGGACGAAGGTGTCGTTGAAGGAGGCGAAGATGTGGGCGACGCCCCACACCAGCTCGCCCTCCCTGCGGATTGGTAGAATGAGGTGAGGGGTTGATGACCAGGGGAGCATCGCATTGGCGTCAAGACTGTATGACGCGCACCCTGGCCAGAGAAAGTACCCGGGCGATCGGTATATCCCGGCCCATCACGCTGCATCCCCGCCCGTTCGAGACCGGTGCACCCGCCCGTGACATCCATCAGGCTCCTCACGGAGGCGACTCGGGTGAGTATTGCATTGAGAACCCGCAATATCATCCCCACTATGCCTCCACCCAGCGCAAGAAGCAACCCTCCCACGCACCGGGTGGCGGGCCCCAGGGAGACATTCTCCTCCTGCTGCTTCACACGCTTGGGCGGCATCTTCTCCGGGGTTGGAGTGACTGGCAGGGGTTCCAAAGGAATGCCTCCAGTCGCGAAGGAGAAAGAGGGTGAGGGGCGAGGCCAGTGCCAGGCTTGGGCGCACTTGGAGGCTGGTCGGCGAGCTTTCTTTCGCGTCGGAGAGCTCTGCGCGAGACTTCCCGCCACACGTAATGAAACAAGCGACCATCTGCGACAAGACCACCACGCCAACTCCTCGAGCATCCCGTCGCCTTGTAGACAATTCCAATATCGTGTACCAGGGCTGTCGCATTGCCGGTGGGCCCTCAGAGTCCATTCGGAGCGCATGGCAGCACAGTAACATTTACCGAAGAATCTGTTCCCAAACTGTGACCTTGACCCTTCCCCCGAAAGCAACCCCCAGGTGCACAGAATATATCGTACATGCTTGCAAACTGAAAGGTCGACTTTCGATCACGAGGGAGGCCCAGCATGGCTCCCACTGTGACAACAGCTGCCGCTGAGTACGAGCAGCTTCAGGACGGCGTGCTGCTTGCAGCAGAGGAGCGAGCACCTGCTCCCGCAGACCCCCGCCACCTCTTCTGCATGGTGGGTGACATGACAGTTTCGTAATGGTTCCTCTGATTCACTGTCACGCACCTGATAGGGCTGATACAGTCGCTCCCTCAATGCACTAGTGGTGGCACTGTCGCTGGGTTCTTGATGGAGCCTTCTCCCATGCTTCTCTCGCCCTTCAATCAGCCAGGGACGCTCCATGAGCCAACCTGGCATGCAGATTCGACAGTATCAATCACGCATCCTCGTTGCCTGCAGGTCCATGGCTTGTTTGGGAGCCGGGCAAACTGGAAGGTGATCGCAGAGGAGCTGCGTGATGCGATGCGAGAGGAAGAGGGCATCCTATTCTACATCTCTGAGGTCAATGAATTCAAAAAGGTAAGGTTGGGAGGGGGTCTGGGAGTGTGGAAATGAGTGACGTAGGCGGGCATGGGAAGAAAAGGCGAGGGCCCAGTTTGTATGGATGCTCTAGCCCCTGCCATCCCCTGGACAAGTTTCTCCGCTCGCTTACTGTTCTGAATTCCAATCCCCTTGTTTCACCTGGCACAGACCTACGAGGGCATCGATGGGTGTGGGGAGCGGCTGGTGGAGGAGATCCATGGGCTCATGGCCCAGTACCCCCTGCTGGAGGAGATCTCCATCCTGGGCCACTCCATGGGCGGCCTGATCGCGCGCTACGCCATGGGCCGCCTGTACGACGCCGAGACGGGGCGCATCGCCGGCAGGCTGCTCCCCGTCCACTTCATCGGCATGGCCTGCCCGCACCTGGGCTGCGACACCGCCCCCGGCCCCGCCCAGGTGAGCGGGCGAGGGATCGTTGCTCGGTTTCTTTCATGCCTTGCACGCAGGGTCTTCTCCTGCAAGCATTCCATCGCTGCTGGGTGTCACTGCGATGGCCTCCTGCAACGAGGAGGGCAAAGTCCCGCCCCTATTCCATCTCCTCCCCCACCCCACCCTGCCCCAAACCCATCAACGTGGCAGGTGCCCATGCTGAAGTGGATGGAGGCCTGGCCGGTGGTGGGCCCGGCGGTGGCGGGCGCGGTGTCGTCTGTGGCGGCCAGCTTCACGCGCGCCAGCTTCAAGCGATCCGGCGAGCAGTTCTTCCTGGGGGACCGGGAGGCCGGGGCGCCGCCGCTGATCTGGCGCCTGGCCCGCGACGAGGGCCCCGGCGCCGCCTTCCTCCCCGCGCTGGCCGCCTTCCAGACGCGCACGGCCTACGCCAACACCGACGGCGACCACCTGGTGGGCTGGGCCAACGCCTCGCTGCGCCGCCTGGAGGAGCTGCCGGAGCTGGATGGTGTTTCGGGAAAGGAGGAATACCCAGGCGTCCTGCGCGCCGACCCACTGGAGACTGCGTGGGGGCCCAGGTATGGCCGGGGCCAGACACTGCCGAGTGGGACCGAGGGTGCCCTGGGTGACGATGACTACGATCTGCCTGGAACGGGCTCTGGACGAGGCGACGAGGACCCTCCCATGTTGAAGAGTGCACCGACGAGCTTCACCGGAGCGCCGCCCGCCAGCCCATCGCCACTCTGCGGAGCCATCGAGCTACACCCCTCTCCCCAAACCGCCTCGCTGCCGGGCCCCCTTCGGCACCAGGTGCGGTACCGGTCGGCGGCGCTGGGCAGCGCCTACGACGCCGCGCTGCATGCCGACCGCACTGAGCTGGTGGAGGACACGCTGCGCGCGCTGCGCACGCTGAGCTGGCGGCGCGTGGACGCGGGGTTTGCGCACAGCGCGCTGCCGCTGCTGGCGCATCAGCACATCCAGGTTCAGCGGCTGTGGGTCAACGGCGCAGGTGTGCCGGTGGCGCGCCACCTGGCGCACAGCCTGCGCGGGATGGAGGAGGCGCGGAGGGAGGGCAGGCGCGGCGCGCGTGGGCGAGGCGGCGCCGCGGCGGGGCGCTGCCTCGGCGCGCGGTGAGGGCCTTCTCGATGGCGACCGAGGTTGTCTTTGTGGCGTGTATCCCTGGAGGTCAGACGGTGGCCCTGAGATCCACAAACACCTGCGCCTGTGCCCACCCAGCCACTTGCCATGAGTTGGGCACTGATGTGCTCCATGATGTCATTGCCACCCCCCCCCCCACCCCTCGCTCCTGCCAGGCATCCCCCTTCCCAGCACTTTGTGTACGCTTTTGCCCCGCCCCTCCTCGTGAATGCACCATGCATGCGAGCATTCTTTTGACCCCTCCCTAGCATCCTCTTGTCAACTCGATGTGTCGCACTGTACACTCAAAACCATGATGAAATGTCATGTCAAGGCCAGGGGCGCTGCGGCGGCGCCTGATGTGGGCACCACCGCCAGCTGCTGCCGCAGCGCCGCCGAGTCACCTTCCCATAGCTCCTCCCCCGCCAGCACCCTGCCCAGCGCGCGCAGCGCCTCGGCCTCCTCCCGCGCGGCGCCCCAGTCCTCCCGCGGCAGCGCGTCGAGCCGGGCCAGCGCGGCCTGCGCCGCCGCCGCGAAGGCCGCGTCGCCGCGCATCGCCGAGCCCGCGCATCGCCAGCTGCGCGCCAGCTGCACGCCCAGGTCGGCCGCCGCCTCGCGCGTCGCCGCGTCCGCCTCGTCGCTCAGCGCGCGGCACAACGCGCCCAGCAGGCCCTCGCTCGCCGCAAGCGGCGCCTGCGCGGCGTCCACGCCCAGGCAATAACCCAGGAGCTGAGCCGCCTTGCGCCGCACGCGCGCGTCGGGGTCGTTGCGCAGCATGCGCACCAGCGTCTGCGTGCCGGCCGCGCTTTCCAGCCACCAGCGCATGGCCGGCTCGTGGCCGCGGACCAGGCTGGCCAGCGCCAGCAGGGCCTTGGTCCGGCAGTCGGCGTCGGCGTCGGCCAGCAGAGCCACCAGCCGCTCAGTCAGCCCGGGCGCCGCCAGGAAGCTGGCCTGCACCTCGGGGTTATTCTGGACGCAGGCAGCTGCCACCTCCGCCGCGCGCCAGCGCAGCCCCGGCGCGGGGCTGGCCAGCAGCTGAGTCAGCGTGGGCAGGCCGCCGATGGTGGCCAGGTCGCGGGCCGCGTCGATGGACTCCACGATGTCCAGCAGCTCCTCCAGCAGCCGCTCCGCGTCGGAGACTGCGGCGACAGCGGCGGGGGCGGGCGGGGGGGTCAACTCGTATGTGGTGGAGGAGTTGGAAGGCCCAGTCGCAGAAGCCGCGCTGGCGTCCGCCACCTCGGGGGATGAGCCTGAGCCGTCCCTCTCGGTCCCTGCACCGGCATCCGTCGCAGTGTGTGCGTCCAGGACCTCCTTGATCTCTGTCATGCGCTTGGCCAGGTCGATCATGGAGTCACGCATCGCCGACTCCAGCCTGGAGGCATGGGTGGGCAGGGTATGAGGTAGAGGGCTGCTGCCCAGGTGCTGGGAGGCCCTCCCTCCCACGGCAGCAGGTCTGTATGAAGCGAAAAAGGTGCCTTAAAGCTGATTCTGACACCCAATTTCCCTCAGCCCAACGCACCAGGCTCGCTCAGACTCGGGCAGGGGCCGGGCAGGGGCCGTGCCGTCCTGGTGGGCAAGGCTCCACTCGAACAGCCCTGCAACAGTGGCGCGATGAGGTAGTGGCCGGCATGCTGGACACATTAGACATGTGATTCAATGCAGAAAGTGAGATGGGTGCCCGTCAGACCTCGCTGCCCACCGCCAGGTCTCACCTTTCCATATTGTCATGTCCGCCATGTCTGGCGAGAAACAGCACTCTCAAGCGCAGCTGGCGGCCAGGCAACAACGTAAACGTCTTGAGAGGTGCTTAATTGGATGTAGGTATACTGTCGGCACCTCAGGGATTGCAAACACTCTGGACGTTTCTGCTTCGCTCGCGAATGAAAGTCCCTCTACCAACGTCCCCTGCTCCGTCAGCTGGTCTGGGTGACTCTTTCTCAGTGCACCAAGTGCTCAGCATTCTTCAGCAACATCAGACACTGGCATGCAATAGCTTGCGCCTCCCTGATTCATATGTTTTGCCAGCTTGGCTCATGCATTGCACCAGCGGAGAGGTTGTGGAGAGCCAGAACTCGAGACCCAGCCGCCCCGCAGAGCTCACTCCAGCACGCCCTTGACATAGATCTTGCCCTTCTCCGTCAGGCCCAGTTCCTTGTAAAAGCGCTCGATCTCCTCCTGGTCCCCCTCCACCACGATGTCGGTGGTGGACTGGTCATCGGCCGTCACCATCTTCACCCGCATCTGCTCCGTCCTGCATTCCCACGGGACGAAGGGGTGTTTCCACTGTCATGGCGCGCAGATTCTTGCCTGCAAGATTGCTCCATGCACACCATCCTCGTGGACTGAACTGCCTGTAGACAATGCTCTCAGGTCCAACCGAACAGAATTTTCCTTGCCACCTTTCCTCCTTTCAAGCACCTGAAAGCGTTCTTCCAGTAGTACCATCCCGCCGCCGGGCTGGCCAGGACCAGCGCATACCACCAGCTGCCTCCCCAGGGCGCGGCGATGGAGAGCACCAGGGAGGTGCTGGCCAGGCCAATGGATGTGTAGGCCACCAGCGACGCAGCCTGGCCTGATGAGGTCGACAGGGTCGCATGATTTCAGGCGCATGCAGCACAGAATGACTGTTTCAAATACACGTAAGCCATAGCTCTGCGGACCACACAGCGCCTTGTAGAGCACAGATCGCTTTACTGGGCGCAGCCAGAGTGCAAGCTGGCAGTGCTCATGGAGGCTCCTGCACACGCCCGGGAAAGCACTTGACCGAGCAAAGACACCCATACCCCCTCACCTGCACTGGCACGGTAATTGCCCTCAAAGGTGATGACCTCGCCCATGTCCTTGACCTCGTAGTTGTAGCGCATGAAGTACTCCAGGATCTGGCGGGCCCGCGCCCCTGGGGCCATGGCACCCTCTACCGCCGGGCCGTCCACCTGAAACACCTTTCGCTTCACTGTGGCGCGGGGGGCCCTCTTTATGAGGGACCACAGCCCGGGGATGGTGATCACGAAGAGGCCCAGGCTCACGTAGTAGCTGCTGGCGGGGGGTGAGCCGGAGATCATCTCCTGGGCTGAGGAGGGCGGGGCCATGGCCAGCATGAGGGCCGTGGAGCCCCAGGCTCCCAGCGACAGGCGCGATGGCGCCGAGGAGGCAGCCTCCGAGGGATCAGTGGGTTCGTCCTGTGTGATGGCCCGTGCGAGATGCCTGGCATGTCGGGCTGGGGCCAGGCGTGACGGGCCCTGCATCCGCTTGCATGAATGGACGGCAGGCTGCCATGGGCGCAGGCAGGGCCGGCTACATAGCGACTGCGTCGTGTGCATGGTGCAAGACATTGTCATGGTATTTACGGTGTCGAATGTCCCCAAGGATGGCGGAAGTTGGCCTTGGGATGCCACATTTCCGCCCTTCCATGCCTTTCGTAAGGAATCATGCACGTGGACCAAACTGTGATGTGCTGGACCGCACAGCTTCCCCTGAAACATAAAAACGTTGCAAGCAGTCGATGCAGCAGTGTAACACAACATCATGTCAAACAGTTGCTGTGGCTTGTCTTTCATTATGGACCTTGCTGACACGGCGTGTATTTAGGATCTTGCGTGCCAAAACCTTGCCCAGTTCTGGTTCTCTCTCCTGCTGCTCGTTGAAGGATCCTGATGTGAGATATCATGCGAGACGTCCACACTGGCATAATATGCCGCACCCCCAATCCATGATGTCTCGCTAGAGGATGCAATGCAGACTTTCGACAGTTCATCCACTCAACTATGTGACGGTCATCTGCGCTCTGCGCGTCTGCTGAGAGGTCACGGTTATCCCCTGGCAGTGGCTCTGTCGCGGACTGAGCTTCATACCCACTGCTCAGAAAACGGCCATCAGAACGTGGGGCCATTTGTGTCCTGAGGCATTTTCCTTACCCTTGCTCTCAAATCCCGATCGGAGTTCCCTTGGAACCCACTCAAGCTCAGGGACCCCCATCCTGGCATCCTGTGCTGCTCTTTTCAGAGGGCAATTGATATCGTACTCCACCACCTCCCTCCCACTGAAGCAGGACAGTGCATGCGGCATTGTCCAGCATACGTACTTCCAGCATCCTCTGGAGATTTCAAAGACAATACTGGTGGTGGCCCAGGGTCGATGGGGTGGCGACTGCCCGTCAGATGGCCGAACAGGCCGAGGATGCCACTTTGCGCGCCCTCGCGACAGTACCAAGCCCCGACAGCGCGCTGGGGTCGCACGATCGTCGAGACACCCCTGGCTATCCGGAAGTGCCGGCAACCCCACCTGCGACCCAACGAGCGCACATATCGCCCGTGATCACGCAGGCCCCCCGCCAGCCTGCCCCCAGTTCACCGATGGCGAGGGATGGGTCCTCCTTCCAGCCTTAGGATTGCTATCCAGCAGAGCATACGCCAGATCCAGCGCCTGGACGACAGCCAGATCAAGTGAGTGCCAGCCTGCCCCGGTGCATTGGCTGGGGCATGGTCCCATGCATGGGCTCCGGGGGTCGGGGACCCCACCCGCACGGGAGCCCCACCCCCCTTTCCCCCCTCCCCCCTCCCAGGACCCTGTCCCCCGCCGCCCGCTACCTGATCGCCCCTGGCCTGAGTTTCGTCGCGGGCCTGACTGCCGCGAGCAACTCCGTGCGCGGCTGGCTGGCCCGCAACGGCCTGCGCGGCCCCATCCCCCTGCCCGTGCCCGTGATCGGCATCGGGTCCCTGACCTCCGTGGGCACGGGCAAGACCCCCTTCGTGGAGTTCCTGGCGCGGCACTATGGCCGGGCCCACGCCACGCCCTCCCTCATCCTGCAGGCCGGCCCCGGCGCGGCCGACGAGATCAAGTTCCTGGCCGAGGTGCTGGACGGGCAGCCCGCCGACGCGGCGCCCGTGGCCTCGCCCGGCGAGGCGCGCGCGGCGCTGACCGCGCACCCCGCCGCGCGCCTGGTGCTGCTGGACGACGGCCTGCGCTCGCTGCGCCTCCTGCGCGACATGGAGGTGGTCTGCGTCAACTGCCTGGAGCCGCTGGGCAACGGGCGCCTGCGCCCGCGCGGCACGCTGCGCGAGCCCGCACGCGCCGCGCTGCGACGCGCGGACGCCGTCGTCCTGCACCACGCCGACCTGGCGGGGGAGGAGGAGGTGGGGCGCGTGGAGGGCACACTGGCCGCGCTGGCGCCGCGGCACACGCTCTTCATGCGCACGCGCATGGCGCCGCTGTCGCTGCGCAGCCTCATCCCACCCGCCGCCTCCCTGGACATGAGCGAGGCGGGGGGTTTGGGGGGCCACGTGTCCCTGGCGCGCCTCCACGGCGCCCACGTCGTCTGCCTGGTCGGTGTGGGGCTGCCGGCCTCCGTGGAGGCCCACGTCCGGGGGCTGGGCGCCGCGGCCGTGGAGGGCGCTGGGGACCACCCGGACCACCACGAGTTCGAGCTGGAGGAGGTGCAGGCCGCCATCGCGCGCGTGCGGGAGCTCCAGGTGAGGGGCGTCAGTCGTTGAAGGGGGGTGGGGGCGAGGTCGAGGAGCGGGGGTGATGCATGGAGAGGCGGCACACGCAGTGGTCTGATGGAGCGATCACTGGGTGGGTGGCTTTGTGGTATCACTGGACCAGGCAGTGGCTGGGTGTGTCATGACCTGCACCAGGACAGCTGCGGTGTCGGCTCTCCCCCGCTGATCCCTGTCCCGGACCACATTGCACCCGCGCCCCTCAAGAGTTTACCCCTCTCCCCTCACTCCTGAAAATCCCCCTCCCCCCCAAAACAATGCACAGGGGACCCCCGGCGTGCGCCACGCCTGCCTGATCATGACGGAAAAGGACTACGCGCGGCAGCGGGACCTTTTCGAGGCCATCTTCTCGCAGCACGCAGCCGCCCCGGACGTGACCAGCGGGCCACTGGAGGAGGGCGCGCCGCGCTGGGGTGCCTACCTCCTCCAGTCCGGGCTGGAGGTGGTGCAGCACGACCGCCGCTTCTCCGGCACCAAGGCCGTGTTCAACGCCGTCCTGCGCCTGGCCAACGACAACTTCCGGCAGTGAGTCGAGGTTTTGGAACGGGTGCGGGGGTGGACAGGGGGGTTGAAGTTCGTGTGTGTGTCGAGATTGGGCGTGGGGCGGAGGTGGCGATGACCCCACTGTATGACAACCCACGCTCAAGCGGCCGGGGCGGGGGGGTCGACACGCACGTGCCTGGAGTGCCACTCCTGCTCTGAAACCCTTGCGTGCGTGCACGCTCTGGGGTTGCAACCCTTCCAGTTACATAAAGGGCGGACAAGGGAGACCGCGCGTGTTCCGCCCGAGTTTCTACAATGTGTACCAAAACAATTAATTGCATGGCCCCCCTCCGCAGGCGAAACTACGTCTTGTGAGGCGGGCCGCAGGCCCCAGTGGCGGCCGGGCAGAAGTTGGCTGCCGCCCTCAGGAGGCCATCCAGTTTTGTGTCTTGCTTGCTCCGTGCTATATACACTGAGGCACAACAAGGGGATGTAGATGGAGGGGAAGGCAGGGGACGTGGTGGTACAAAGCGGGAAAGGGGACGTTGGGGTTGCCGGCGCCCGGCCGGGCCGGTGGGGTCACTGCCGGGCCGGTGCCACCCCCGGGGCCTGCGAGCCGATGGGCCTCGCCGGGGAGTCCGCCGTGCGCGCGATGTCGCCGTACTGGACGGCGCGCTGCTGGAAGGCATGACCTCCGAAAGCCGCCGACAGGACTGCGACATCGCGGGAGGTGCGCGCAGCGCCGTGCATGGAGTTTAGTAATCCAGCCTGCTGGGGACTGCTGCTGATGGGAAGGTCCAGCTCGAACGCCATGGAAATAGGGTCGGTACGGGTGTGTAATGACCCTCCAGACTGGCCTCCGACACGATTTGTGGCTCTGCACGTATGCCCATGGATCGCGTGGTGGCAGGTTGCGCGCCATGCACCGGGGGGTCTTTCCCCGGTGCTTTATAGTATGTACATGCATCTGTTGCTCCGCTGTAATGCCTGACCCTCGCCAATGCAACAGGCTGGTTGACGACTGACCAGATCAAATCCACAGACCAGGTGCGAGAAAGCATTCATGGCAGAGAGTCATGTAAGCAACCATGGCCTACACAGCTTCTGTCGCAGCCATCAGCGCTGTGCCAGGATCTCGGGGAGTGTCATCCAAGGAGGCACCGCATCCTTTACCAATTCGTTCCCCTAACAGACTTTGATCCCTTCCTTTCGCACAGAGATTCATGCCTCTAGGGATCAGGGGTGCTAGGGTATCGAGACAAGACCACTTACCTCAGTGACACACACCCTTAAGAAAGTGCAGAACGTAAGCCAGGGACAGCATCACAGAATCAGGTGGTCTCTCAGCCGGTGAAAACCACCTCGTTGCCAGTGTTTGGCAGCAGCGATGCCCGGGGCTTTTCGTCCGGAGCATCGCCGCCTCCGACCAGACGGCTTGATGCTGGATGAAGGATGGCGATAGCTTATGGCTCGTTGAAGGTACATGATTTGATGGATCATGCGAAAGGCTGGGTGTGACGTCTGGCTCTGGACTCTTGGCCACCTGATAGGATCGCGAGCATTACCCTGTGCCCTTTGTATTCCGCCACGACACGCCCCTGGCCCGGGCCCGTACGATTCTTCGTCAGACGAAGAGCCTCTCGATGAGATCAGCGAGGACCAGCAGCGACTGGCGGATGCCGCCTTGAAAGAGCGAGGCGAGGAGACGTAGGATCGCGAGAGGCGCAAGCCCATATACCGATACCCGGCACGGAAAACCACCCTGAACGCGTCCGAGGATTACGGGGTATCTCCTTTCCACTTCTCTCTGTGGGACGAGTTCAGTGTGGTATCCCGTGTCGGGTGTCGGTAATGGGGCGCGCGGCCTCATTCTCTCCTCCGGCTCATCGCCTAACTGGCTCATGACGGCATCTCCAGCGCCGCTTTGCGCGTATGACCTCACCGGGAGGCTCTTCGTCTGATGAAGAGTCGCATGAGGCCTGGACCATGGTTTAGTGGTCATTGAAATACGGAGGGCACAGAGGGTGAAGCTCATGATCCCGCCAGATGGCCTTGTATCGTTCACAGTCAGATGTCACCCCATGCTCTACCAATGAAGCCGTCATTTCGAGTACACTGTCAGCAGGCCATGAGCTATCGCCCACTTCCACTGGTATCGAGTCACCTGGTCGGAGGAGGTGCCGGGTCGTGACGTGGAGGGCTCGCCGATGTGCACGGAATCTCGACATGGGATTCGTTTCCACACGATACTCTACGTCGGGATGAGCAAAACAGCTGAGGCGTCAGAGAAATAGATTTATTGTCGCGCGATAAGGACTAATATCTCGAAGCCGCGGATATACGATGAGAAACACATCCACCCGCGAGACTCCATTCTCACTTCCACACGTCGACGACAATTCCTCGTCGGGTTCGACGGAACCTTCCTGCGGCTTCTACCCTGGATGTTCCTCGTCAGACCGTCCTATAATGAGAGGGGGAAGCTTGTCCATTGGGAAAGGGATGGGCACCATGCCTGCAGCCTTCCATGTTTGAACGCGGTGATGGACACCGATCCGTAGCACGCAGCCCCAGGACGGCGGCATGACGATCGCCAAGGCACCACGCGTAGTCAATCTGCCGGGGAACACACCTGAGGCAGCCCTGACGACGCCAACCGTCCACGACGGGATCTGACCACCTGCGCATCGTGCCGCTCGTACCACGGCCACGGCATTGGCCAAACTCGCCCAGCCCGGCGCAGTGGGCGGGCCTGCTGCACGCCGCCGTCTGCCGCGACGACGGCGCGGCGATGGCCCTGCTGCTGCGGGCCGGCGCCGCCGCCGTCGGGCGCCACGCGGGCGAGGGGCCGCGTGGGCCCACGCCGCTGCTCCTGGCCCTGCTGCTGGACCACCCCAGCGCGGCCCTGGCGCTGCTGCGCGGGGGCGCGGACCCCGACCTCGCGGTCGCCGGGTGGCCCGAGCGCGACGCCGCCTGGCCCCCGCTCCTGCGCGTAGCCGTCGCCGCGCGGTGCCGGCCCGAGATCGTCGCGGCGCTGCTGGCCGCCGGCGCGGCGCCCTGCGTCGCCGCGGTGGAGACCGCCGTCGACGCAGACCTGCCCGACCTCGTCCCCCTGCTGGCGCGCGGCCTGGCGGGGCACGCCGCCGTCGGCGTCGGCCGGCGCGCCCTGCCCCGCCCTGCCTGCCTGGCGGCGCTTCTGGACTGCGAACCGCCCCTCCCCCTCGCCGAATGGCAGGCCCTGCAGCGCGAGGCGGCGGCGGCGGGCCGGATCGCCGAGGCGACCGCCCTGCAGCAGCAGGTGCGGCTGTGTCGGGCCGAGGCGGGCGCCCGGGCGCCGGCGGGGCGCGCGTACGAGCTGCGCGAGACTCAGCCGTTGCTGGCGGGCGGGGACCCCGTCGTGCCTGCGCCGGGCTCGGCGGCACCGCCCGACGTCGTCCGAGCCCAGCGCGACCGCTGCATCGCGCGCCTGCGCGCGGCGGCCGGCGAGGCGCCGCCCGCCGCCTCCGCGGCAAGCGTGGCCTGGCCGAGCGCTGCCGTCTAGGGGGAGCCCACGCGCGCGTCCCCCGGGCCCACTAGGCCTCGCAGCCAGCAATGCGTCTGGAGGCGAAGCTCACACGCCCCGCGGCGGTGAGGACGCCCTCGATGAGGACGGCGCGGCCGTGGATCGGCATGCGCCGCCGGCCCATTGCTTGGGCACCCAGGTGGAGGCCGACGCTAAGACTGTCCCGGACGCCGCCGCGCTTGCGTCGGTGCTCGGCTTGTTTGTGCGGCTCGCGTGCATGCGCTCGACGTGGCCGCCAAAGCCTTTGTCGGCGGGGTCGGGCTCGAAGCGCGCAGGACAACCGCCCGGGACGGGGGCCTGCTCGCCGCCGGCATGTTGTCGACCCGCATCAGCACCAAGTCGGTCTCGTTCGTGACGTGGCTGCCAGTGCGCGCGCCACTCCTCGTCGTCTGTGCACACAAGGGTCAGTCGGATCCTGGCGAGGTCATGAGGAGGGCCGGGCTGAGGCCCACGGCCCGACGTCGAAAGGTGGCTGTCTCCGGCCCTGTCGCGACGTCGTCATAATCGCATGTCGTGGCCTACAGCACCAACATATTGGGTGTCATTCAGTGCATCACTGCATCACCTCCTACGCGCGCCGAGGGGTGCCAAATATTTGCGCAGCGGCGGCCCCACCACGAATCGTAAGGCATGGGTTCGGCGGCCACAAGTCGGCGGCGGCGGCAAGGCGCCAGCCGCCGAACCCAATGGCCTTATTGCGCGCGTTAAGCGCTGCACAGACGCTGCCGCGATGCGCGATCTCCCCGTTTTCATGCTCTTCCGGGACGGCTGCGGCAGCGTCACGGCGCCCATCGAGACGGTGGGTGGTTGGATGGTTGCGGAGCGTGGCGCCCGGGACAAGCGCACGCCGTCGCCCCTTGCAGCCGCTGCATGACGCTGCCGCCAAGAAGTCTCATGACGGACAGTCGCCGATCGTCGATGGTGCATTCACGGAGAGCGGCATGCTGGCCAGAGTTGCCGTCAAACGCAGCGGTATCCATCCGAAATGAGGTAGCGAAATCCCTCCACCGGCTCCCCTCGCAATTGTACACTCACTCCAGTATAAACAGGCTATCCAGCTTGGAAACAATGCGGTACGTGACAAACATTTGTCCCTCAAGAAACCACCAAATCCTCTGTCCAGTCTTGCGAGAGTAACCTCAAGACATCCATGCTTGTGCTGTACATCTTTGATTGGGTATAGAGGCAAACTGAGGCCACAACAGCAAGCATTGCTCAATTGATCTAGCCCAACAGAGCAGTCCTTCACTTCATACACAAGTTGTATCAGGCAAATACCATTGTGCAGGAGTATTGGAGTCTGTAGGACTGTATAGAACTTCGAATCGGGAAGTGAGGTTGGAGTTGCCCACGAGTGTCAGCTTTATGTGCCCATGTAATCGGTGATTATTGCACTTCCCAACAGTCTTAGAATGCGGCCTGGGAACACATCCGACAGTCCCTGCACCCCATGTCTTATAGTCTGGGAGGGAAAGAAATAAATCATCCTTGATGACCGGCGGTACAGCCCGATATTCATCCGAAGCCCGATCTCCTTCCCCAACCTGACGGAGAATTGACGACATGATGGCGGGAAGTCCATGCAGAATTGTTGAGCTCGTCGCACATCCAAGCATTGCGCAATGCCATGGAGGGCGCTCCCTGCACCACCCACCCCTGGTAACATCACTTCTTAAATGCCGCACTGTACAGTAATCCCCCATGCCATGCACGCTGTGAGCCCGATGCGGGGCATGTGGCTGACAAGCGCCACCCTGGTCAGGGCTAGACATGTGCCACATGCAGTCGGGAAGCCGGCCCTTCAGAGGCCTGGAGGAGACCCCGTCGTCATAATTGGGGCTGGACTGGCCGGACTCAACGCTGCTTTGACCCTTGAGGCTGCAGGTGGGGGTCCCAGAGATATCTTGACAGCTAGAGTGGCTGAGTCGAGCCTTCAATGAGTCATGGCTATCCCTGCCCCATCCCCCCTGGCACCTACCCAGGAAGAGAATGCGTGGTCCTGGAGGCACAGGATGGAGTGGGCGGGCGCGTGAGGACAGACAGGCACGAAGGCTTCCTGCTGGATCGCGGCTTCCAGATCTTCCTGACTTCCTATCCGGAAGCTCAGGTGGGTCTGGGCAATGGGGCTGAGAGTCGTGATCCAGTAGCCTGGAAGCTCTTGGTGCATGTCGTAGGCCACCCGCTGACCACTCCACCTCCCACAGAGGCTGCTGGACTACGACTCCCTTGAACTCCACCCCTTTTTCAATGGGGCGGTCGTGAGGACGGCAGATGGGGCGATGCATACCGTGGCTGATCCTTTCAGGTGAGAGTTGGGGGTCTTTTGGGGACAAGGAGTGGTCAGAGAGGGTGCACGCCAGCGGCAGCGGCTTTAAGATTTTGCCCTGCCTTTGGCAGGAGGTGGGACTTGATGGATATTACCACCTCAGGCTCCAAGGATGAAGGCACATTGGCCATGTCGACAAACAGAGCCCTGCCCCGGTGGGCTCCGGACCCCCCCCCCCCCCTCCAGCTGTCTGGAATGAATCACAGTCGTACCTGGGAGTTATGCCGCAAGCAGGACCGGCCCTGCCTCAGATTCCCCCGACCCCTCACGATATGTCCTCTCCCCCCAAAATCATGACAGGCATCCGGTTCCGGGGCTCCTCTCCCTGCTCAACCCTGTGGGATCCCCGCTGGACAAGCTGCGGGTCGGCCTCCTTCGCCTGCGGACCCAGCTGACAGGAGCCCAGAGCCTGCTGGCTACCAGTCAGGAGACCACCACCTTGGAGAGGCTGCAGGCAAGGCGCAGGACGGACAGAGGAAGCCTGATTGTCTGATTGACTCATGGGCGGCTGCCAAGGATCATGGTCGTAGTCTGTGGCGGTGTTTGCACTCGTTCACCCACCTTTATCGGGGGGCGCGCCGTCGGTCTCTTCCACACCCACCCTTTTCTCTCTAATCTTCTCCCAGGCGGAGGGCTTCAGCGACGTCATGATCGACGCCTTCTTCCGCCCCTTCCTGGGCGGCATCTTCTTCGATACTGGGCTCCAGACGTCCAGCCGTCTCCTCCTCTACGTGCTGTGCATGCTGGCATCCGGTGAGAGGGGGGCTTCTGTGTTGGCATGTATTGAGGATCACCGGGAGCTTTTAATGGAATGTCCAGCACTACTATGCACTGGATGCGGGCGAGGCAGCACTGCGCGGCGGCTGTGCGCATGCTCCAAGGCCCTCCCCCCATTAATGCACTCCAGGGTCAAACTGCCTACCTGCCAGCGGCATCGGCGCCATCCCAGAGCAGCTGGCGGCCAGGCTGCGGGCGCCCGCCCTCCGCCTCAACACGCGTGTGCAGGGTCTGACACCTGGCTCCGGCAGCTGGGAGGTGAAGCTGGGGGGTGGGGAGACGCTGCACGCCCCCGCCGCCATCGTGGCCACCGAGGGGCCAGCTGCGCGGCAGCTTCTGGGGGCCCGGCTGGCGCCAAATCCCAGCGCGGAGGGTCCGGGGGTGGGCAGCATCTGCCTCTACTTCGCCATGGACGGCAACCCACCCAGGTAGGCGGGGGGGGGGGGGAGGGACAACAGGGGGAGGGGTGTCAGGAGAGGTTCACCTCATCCGGCGGCGCTGAAGAGATGGGTAGAGGCGCGTCTGCGCGGATCAAGCTGCGCTCGACCGGGGCGACAGCTGCGGGTGCAGTGTGTGAGTGCCCGCCAATGACAGCCTCAACACGCCCGGCCCCAGGTCTGGCCCGTACCTCTTTCTCAACGGCGACACCCGCACCGGCCTGGTGAACAACCTGTGCTTCCCCTCGGAGGTGGTGCCAGGGTATGCCCCCGAGGGCCAGTCCCTGGCATCTGTGTCCGTGATCGGAGACCACGCTGACCTGGACGACGCTGCGCTGGAGAAAAGGGTGCGCGGCCAGCTGTCCTCCTGGTTCGGAGGTGCGGAGGTGGACAGGTGGCGCCACCTCCGCACCTACCGCATCCCCTTCTCCCAGCCCGGACAGGTATCTATGGCATGTGTGTGCTCTGCTCGTAGGTTGTCTGCGTTTGGGGGGACCGGATTTCGTGGCGAAGGAGCAGTGTCTGCCATTTGATGAACCCACACGGGTGGGCAGCGTATGCGGGAGAAGGTGCCACCCTGTCTGCTTGATGTTCATCAGGCCTCACAATCACCTCCTTGAAACCCTTGGAATAAATCCTGCTCTGCCAATACCCCACCCATTCTCCATTGTCCAACCCCCAACCTACCTCTGCAGAGGCCACCATCTGATTTTTCCCGTCCTGCGAAACTTGGGGAAGGCCTGTTCGTGTGTGGAGATCACCGCAGCCATGCAACTTTTGACGGTGCCCTGACTTCTGGGAGACTAGCCGCCGAAGCTCTGCTCCACGAAACCTCGTGATTGAAAGTATGACCGCATGCTAAGGTGGTGTAGGCATTTGCCAATGACATGATAGATGTGATCAATCAATCTCTGGAGATGGTGGATGTAGACGAGAGATTTGAAAGACCTGACACTGTACTGTGCAAGATGTGTTCCACGATCACCATAATCACCCAACAGCTTAGGCGGTGCACGTTCATTGCGCGCCACATTCCGGAGAGTGGAGCGAGCCCGCGCCTTGGCCTGTTGGCATAATTCAGCTCTGCGTGTCTGTGGAACGCTATGTTGATCAATAGGAGACCCTTATTGCATCTGTTTGGCTAATTGGCCTACGAGAGGGCAACGATCGACTTTTACCAATAGAGCGGGTTGTCGGAGTCTTCGGTGATTGTGGGCGCCTCGACCTCTGGCTCAAATCCAAAGCCTTACCCATCTATCATCCGCTCTTGAGCTTCAGAAGTGGGTCGGATGAGTGCAGGAGGTTCAGGGACCATGTGGATGGAGGCTTCTCCTGTGCCGACCATGAAGGTGCTTCACCCGTGCTACACCTCTTGACCCCGCAGTGCCCTTGACGGACAACGCGTGCTTCAATAGAGTCACCACCGGGGCCGCCCTGGGCGGCGCACTGGGGGCCTCCATCGGTGAGAGGCCATGGTGTGTGGATCAAGAGGCATGGCGGTTTCTGGTGTTTAGCTGTTTCACCCAGACGTCATGCTGCCATCCAACCTCCCAATTCCAGGCTCATTGTACGGCACCTTTGAGGCCTTTCGGTATCGCATCCCGGGCATGCAGAAGATCCGGTACATTGGCAAGACCACCACCAGCAGTGCCGCGGTGAGCAATGCAGCAGCGATTGGATGTCGCGTGGTTTGTGAGCGACTTGGTCCATGCGCGCCTGTGAGACTCGTGCATCTGCACCCGTGGCACTGATTCCCTGGTGCAAACTCCCCGCCACAGGTGTTTGGTCTGTTCCTGGGTGCTGGGTCTCTCCTGCACTGCGGCCGTTGAAGCGCGGGGCTCAGGTCAGCAGCCGGGCCTGCCGGCCTCCAGCACGAGGCACCCTGGCCCTGCTGCAGCCCAGCTTTCGCGCCTGCCTCTTGCTCAGGGTGCTGGGAATGCCCATGCAGGACCTGCTCCCATGTGGATAGGATCCCGTGCAGGACTTGTGGCGGTTTAAATCAAGCTTCTAGCAGGAGGGTGCCCTGGGCGAGCAGTGCCAATAGATTCGGGCAGGTGCCCGAGGACGCGATGGGCATTACGCGGTGCGCAGGAGAAGAGGGGGAACAAAATGCTCAGAGAAAGGAGAAGCAAGATCAATGATTTCGTGGGCGGATGGTCATGGTATCAACGGGGGCCGCCCCCTCCTGCACACAACCGCCCCTGCCCAGACAGTGCGGCGTGGCCCCCCTGTGACCCCGGGGGCGCCCCCAGCTTTGGGTGCAGGGACTCTACAGGGGATGCGAGTAAACGCGCCGCAGGGGCCTGGGGGCATACGCCGGCGGCGCCCCCGCCCCGCCCCCCCGCGCCTCCTGCTCGTGCCCGTGCGGCGGCTGGAACGCAGCCCGGTCCCGCTGCTGCTGCTGCTGCTGCTGCTGCCTCTCCAGCATTGGGCCTGGCGGCTGGAAGGGATGCTGCTGGGGCCCGGCCGCATGGGGGAAGGCCTGTGCAAAGGGCTCTGCCTCCCAGCCGTGCCCCTGCGGCAGGCGGACAGACCCCAGCGGGGCCTGCGCCGCGCCCTGCCACGCTCGCAGCTGCAGCAGGGGCACCGCGGGATCGCGGGCCGCCTCCGCGCCGTTGCGTGCCGCCGCCAGGCGCTGCGCGTTCAGGGCGCCCGCGGCGCGGGGGGTCACGGGCTCGCCGGCGGGGAGCCAGACCCGTGCGGCGGCCAGGTCAATGCTGGCCTCCCGCGTGGGCGGGAGCAGGCCCCACGCGCCGTGCCCCCCGCCGACTCCGGGCGGGGACCGCCCCGCCGCGCCGGAGCCGTGCCCCGGCAGCGCCGCCGCGGCGGGGCTGCGCATGGGGCTGCGGATGGGCGAGGCCAGTGGCGAGATGAGGTCGATGGCACCGGCGATGGCGTGCAGGGCCGACAACGCCTGCGCCTCGGCGTCCACCGCGCTGGCCCGCCGGGTCTGGTGACGCCGGCCGGCGGCTGTCACCGGGGCGGCGGCTGGGTGCCCGAGGCTCGGCAGGTGTGCGCCGCCTGGGCCGGGGTCGGGGCTTGCGCTTGGGCGCGGGGCGGCGGCCGCCGAGGCGGGGCGGTCGCGGGGGGTGGGGGCTCGCCGCTCCTTCTTCCTGGCCCGTACGCCGCCGCTGGGGGTGGTCCGCCCCGCCGTGAGCGCCCGCAGCCCCAGGGCTGCGCAGGGGAGGGGGGTGGAAGGGGATGAGGTGAGTCTTGGGGGACTGCGACCGTGAGGCCATGCCCGAGGCTTGCTGGTGAGGAGGGGTGCACAAGAATACATCAGAGGCCCCCCCCCACCGACGGTCACACCCACCTTCCAACAGCTTCCGACGCAGCCAGTTGTTGTTGAAGCTCTGCGTGGGGGACCCGTACACTCGCTGGAAGGCGGCGCGCAGCTCCCGCTGGCCCATGGTCCTGCTTCAGCAGGAGGGCGAGGGGGACAGCGGTGTTTTGACCCCTGGTTTTCAGGGATGGGGGCCCGCAGCAAGGAGGTGCTGTACCGAGGAACCCTGGCCCAACAGTGGCTGGCGCTCTGGTGCGTACCGGCATACAGGTGGGATGCAATCAGAAACGTGCACAGGTCCTACACATCCTGGGTCAAGCACGGGTCTGATGCCCAATGCATGATGGTGCAGCGCCCTCATGCCAACCCTCAGGATTCCACATCATGCGACTCCAACCTGCGCCCTCGCTGCGCCCAGCCACCCACACCTGACAGCATGCCGGGCGGCTTCCAGGCTGCTGGCACCAAAACGATCCAGGACGCTGGCCCCCCGCTCCTCCTCAGGCAGCCAGTGCCGTGTGAGGTGGTGCAGGGTCGGCCGCGGCGCAGCATCCACCTCCATGCCTGGGGCATCAGGCCCCTGAGGGCTGGCCTGGACCCTGCTCGACTCGGTGGGGGAGGTGTCCAGCTCTGACGTGGGATCAGTCCCGGCCTCCCCATCCACGGGTCCGGGCGTCCGTCCCTGCCGTGGCTCCGGGGAAGCCAGTGTCGGCCAGCTGCCCGAGCAGGACCCGGCGGGTGGCTGCAGGGGTTTCCGTCACAAGGGTCGGCTGTTCACGCGAGTCTAATCGGCGGTACTGCCCTCATTCCTGGATTTTGGAGGGTTGGAGCTGGTGGGAGCGGCCCGGAATGTTTGGGTTTGGGGCTCGTCCCGCCTGCGTGGTCTGTCGAGTGACCTGGCCGCGAGTGCGAGGGGCAGGGAACGTCCCGCGTCAATGCACAGGAAAACCCAAGTACCGAAAGCGCCGGGCACTGCTTTCGAAGGTATGGTGTGTCACTGGGTGCCTGGGAAGGGCAGGGGAGCGGGCCCGGGATGCAGATCACTTCTGTCCGAGGTGGAAAGTATCGCGACCCACGCGCGACCATCTCGTGGACCATAGGGCCATGGATACGCATCGAGCGATGCATAATTTTAAAGGACATTTCGATGTGAAGTACCGAGGTGGAGTGTAAGCGGTAGCTGGCTCTAGCACTTCGCGGGGTCAACAAAAGGCTGGCCTCAATGGACTTGGTGCACCCCCATACCGGGACTCAGCAAGGCAATATATGATGATCATGACATAAAAAGCACGATGATCAAGTCTCGCGAGTATGGAGTGGCGTCCTCTTACGCAAAAAGTGCGACACTGAGCGTGCTATCTTAACGGGCCCGCAAACGCAGCGCGGGGTGGTACCGGTACACGCAGTACACAGCAGTAGCCACAGCTTCAAATGCCGAGGATCAGCCCGACGTACCCATATACTTTCTTCCCAGCATACTCGTCCGGCCCAGGCCGGGATAAACAAGCGCCGTGTGCGTGTCGCCTGCAAGGGCCCGACACAGGCCTGCAGCGCGGGGCTGGGCCCACGGAGCCGCGCGCCTGGGGAGCGCCAGACTGCCGTTCGTATGGCCATGGAAGTGGATGTCCCCAATGCCATGCCTCCTTGGGGACAGGCTCCTGCCCCGGCGGTCCCCGCCAAGGCTGTCACTCCTTCTGGAAACAGTTATCGCCAGCGGGAGGCGACCCAGTTTAGGGGTGTCACGAAGACCTCCGGGACTAATTCGGGGCTCGAGAAGTTTGACGTGCAGTGAGTGCAGGCCGGCAATGGCATGCACGTGGTAGAGGGGTGGCCTGGGATGATGGAGAACGCTGTCGCCCTCCTTGTCAAAACCCACTTGCGGGTTTCCTTGTGGGGACAACCAGGAGGCATGCTGGCAGCAGGTCACCTCCCGTCATCGCAGCTCCAGTCTCTCCCTGATCCCAGTTCCACGTCCCACCAATTCACCCCAGGTTTGTGTTCTGCGACCACGGCACAAAGAAGCACCCCAAGATATATGGATTTGGGAGTGCAGGGGCGGCTGCCTGTGCCTTTGACATTCTGACCTGCAAACGAGCGCTGGAGAAGGGGAGGACGGTGGCTGGCGTGCTGGGGAGCGCAGTGGTATGTAGAGTGTGGTGGGGGGTTGGATTCATGGACGGCATTTTGGCGGCACGGTCTGGGAAAGGTCATGGCCATCACACTCTCTGGCCGCGAGCCAAACCCTCGATGTGTCCCTAGCACTCTGCCTGGCGACCGCTGGGGTGACGCCCAAGGGCCCACTCACTTGCCCATGACGCCTTCTGCGTGCGGTCCGGCACCCATCAAGGCACTCCCTTCCGCTCGATCACGGTGCAGAGTCTGGCCACAAATCACCCGTCAACTAACTACCAGAATGATGAGCTGCTGACACTGCTGTCGAACATCACACGAGACGACGTCATCTATGGGCTCAAAATCTGTGCGAAGAAAGGGTATCTGCTCGGCAGGTGAGCCTGGTCCCGTGGGAGGGGTTCTCCCGCATGCGCCACGCCGGTCGGAAGGGATGCGCAGCACAACACCGCGTCTCGTCTCCGAGCGCTTGAGGAACCCTGCCCTCCCTCCCCAAAGCCAAGAAAATCCAGCCCCTTTCCCTTGCCCCATTGTACACCGTCTAAGCTCGCTGGTCGAAGAGTTGAGAGATGGCGTGAGCACGGCCCAGAGAGAGGCGGCGGAGCGCGGCAAGCAGGGCGAGGCGCGCCAGAGCTACGAGCCGTCCGCCAAGGTGCCTGGGTGTGGAGACAGGGAGGGGCCCTGACCCCATCCTGCTTGGTGCAGGCGCAGCGATTCCTAGCATGGAGCATAGCTCATGGCTGGCCATGCTCTGCCCTCGATGCGAGTCGATTTTTGCCAAGGCACACCGTCTATATTCCCCCCCCCCCTCTCCAACTGCAGGCTGCGCTTGGCGAGAGAAAGCGCCGCGCGTCTGGCGGCGGCCGCGGCGCCGCCGCTGCCGCGGCGGCGGCCGGCCCCAACCCCGCCCTCGCGTCCTTGGGCCTGCCCGACGGCGCGGGACTGGGCATGCTGTCCATGGGCGCAGGAGCCATGGACCCTGCGACGCTGGCCGCCGCGCTGAGCGCGATGCATGCCTCCACCTTCCAGCACGCCTTCCTCATGCAGCACGCGATGGGCGGGCCCGGGCCCGGCGCCGAGGCCGGCCCGCTGGGCCTGGGCCCCGCGAGGGGCGGCCTGGAGGGCGCCGAGGCCGGCAGCGGTGCCAGCGCCCCCGGCGGCGCCACGCCCGCCGCGCCGGGCGTGGTCGCGCCGGAGCCGGACTGCCTGGGCTTCCTGCAGGAGGCGCTGCGCCTGGCGGCCAGCCTGTCGCCGGAGCTGCAGCCGGCGCTGGACCTGGTGCGGCTGTGGGGCAGCCTGCAGCCAGGGGCCAAGGCGCTGGCCGACCCGCCGGCGGTGTCCTGGTACTACCCCAGCGTGCTGCCCATGCTGCACGCCTGCGCCGACGTGCCCGCCCTCCTGGCCCTCTGCGCCCAGTTCTGGAGCAACGGCACCCTGCGCGGCATGGCCGCCGCGGCGGCGGGCGGCGCGGCTGCGCGAGGGGGCGTCCGGCGCGC